GCGATCAGAATTTCTCCTATTCACCCTCCCAACTCTATCCTAATAAATTCCAATAATATTATTCATTTTCATTTATTTTTTATTCAATATGTATGATGCCCTTTATTTACGATTTGAAGATTTGTATTTCACATAAACTTTTAAATTATTTTGTTAATAATAATCATTAAATGAAAATTATATTTAATTATACATATTATTTATTGAATTATTTTACTAATATTTATTATTATACTTAATTATAGAAATATAAACAGTTTTATAAAATTCATAAACTTTTTTGGGCGGGTAATTATACATTCATAACTGATTATAATAAATAAAATCTAAAGATATATATTCAAATTTCTTAAAATCATTTATTAAAGGAAAAATTATACAATTAATCCTTTAACTTTATACAATATTTCAGTTTGGGCTTTAACTATAAAAAGTATATCTATTCCTTTGACCTAAAATTATCAATCTTAAATGATATTTTTTGTAATTATAACTGTTTTGAAAATTAAACTAGTATGTTAGTATTTGAGAATGTTTTGTTAACATATAATACCTCAACGTCATCATTTGTTAGCAGTTCTACAGCCAAAGAACAAAAAGTATATTTTTTAAAATTAAGAGATTAAACTAAGACTTGGTATAAAGTTAAAAAATGAAATATATACTTAAGTCTTTATTAAGAAAATGTATCTAAACAAGCATCACAATTAATCAACAGTAAATAATGAATATTACTTACAAAAATCATGATTATACAAAAATACATTTGTTGATTGTTAATCCCAACAAGCATTTAGTTGTAAACCTCCTATGTCCTCTCCCTCATGCCCAAGTATATCATAGCCATTCCTTCCAAATATTTTGAATACCTTGTTTTAAGGCACTATCGAGTATTAAATGTAAACACTTGTTTAGGCCAAGATTAAAATCTTGATTCACTAAGTTGTGAAGGACTAATTCATTCCATTAAACCGAACCCTTATTGGTTCATAAATATCGTTTTTATAAAAAGCAACAAGAAGAAACAAAAACATTATCATACATCACATTCCCAATATAAAACATTAGCCTACAGGCCAGCCCTAGTTGGCTAGGGCCTGACCTTGTAAATAACATATCGCCTAGTGTGTGTAAGTTTGTATTAATTAAGAGCTGTTATTTATTTTTTGTTAATATCTATTTTCTAGATTATTAACAAATGGTAGTATATACTTGTGAATCAAATAACTAATAGTAATTAGCTCAAAGTCAAACTTTAGATACACAATCACTTGTAGAGTTCAAATTTTATACTTTTGTTGAATTGATATAAGTAATTGATTTAGGGGGTGTTTGGATTAAACCAAACCATGATTTGGAGAATAGATTCTGAGGAGAATAGATTTTGTGAAAAATAGATTTTGTGAAAAAGTAATTCTAAGAAGTGAAAGTGTTTGGATAGTTGTTATCAAAAGTACTTTTTATATATACAAGTTACTAAAAAAGTATAAATTAATATGATAATTACATAAAAGATAGATTTTATGATATATTTTAATTTGAAGGAATAAAATTGTTAATAATATATTTTTAACCAATATAATTAATAATACATAAGATAATGTAATTAATAAATAATTAATATGAATATATATTTATAAGATATAAGATTAAATATGTTTATAAAAAAATAATTGAAGGATGTTAAAGTCATATTATTGTTGAGATCTACTCTGATGGACACAATCATACTCTCCAACTTGAACCAAAAACAGAATGGATTCACTTCTCCTGAAACTATGGTTTTGGGTTCCAAAACCATGATTTTGGCCCAAACCATGGTTTCATATTATTGGCCCAAAATTGATGCTGTTTGGATGATATCCCTCCCAAACCATGGTTTTGGGGGACATCCAAACAGGCTCTTATATAGACTTTTTTCTTTCATATACCCAAACATATTGGTATGCTTTTAAAGTAGCAAATAATGCAGTGAGACAAGTCGATCCTAATGATGAGAGAAACACTGCCTTCTCTCTAAAATGAGAAAAGACTACTGGGCTTCTAAATGATGATAGCTTGAATTTATTTTGTATACAATGCTTTCTTTTAACTTCTTGGTTATTGATCCTGGTAAAAAAAAAAAACTTCCTGGTTATTGATGCATCTTAGTTTCTCAGGGTTTTATGATCACTGTATCATTGCATGGTTGACGGGTGCTTCTATAAATTTCAATTACATGTTTTTTTTTTCCCCTTGGCTCAATGTGTCTTTTTCCAGTTCCCAAATGGGTTGGATGATGATTTTTTTGCTCTTCACTAACTAATATTTCTATTCTTATCGTTGGTCTATTTATATCTTCTACAATCTTATCTAGAAGTTTCCTTATCCGTCTAAAGTTTTTCATGTATCCGCTGTTGTGAATATGTGGTTGTGTTAAAGAAGCAAGTCCCGTGTGACTTAGTGGAGACAGGGTCCAAGTGCACATGTTATATGTGATTCTGGACAAGCAAATGGGTCAAGAGGAGGAGCAGGCTCGTGTGAACAATAACGGGCCTTTAAGAGGAAAATGCAGTTGAAATTGGGCAATTTTTGTATTGTGTGTGGGCTAAACATGAACTAGCTACCTCAAAACATATTTTTTGTTAAAATCGAAAAATATTTTGGTAATTAAGTATTTATTTTTCAATTAAAAGACCTTACATTGAAATCTTGTTTTTATTAAGTTTAAATTGAAAACAAACATTGGAGCCTGTCATGCGTCATTAACATATTGATGTGCCTCTTCGTTTCATTTTAATCTTGTGTCACAATGTTTGAACGTCCTTATCCGTATGGCGCTTCCGAGCCTGTTGGGCATGGTATTTAAAATGACTTATAAACACATTTCACGTAAACTAAAACAAAATTCCTCTCACATACTTGTCTTGTATTTCATAAGTCATCATTAAAAAATTACTTATAAGTCATTCTAAACAGGTTCTCCATCTCACAGAATGACGTCTATTCTAGTAAGAGTTTTGTGGGACAACGTCATTTCAGCGTCTCTAGTGCCCCTAGGTCTCATCAATCTACATCTATAAAAAGGGTATTATCCGTAGTGCCTAACACACATATCTTCAAACCTTCAAGTATTCTTTCCTCCTTTAAAAATTGTCGAGTTCATTCTTTGCTTCTATTGTTTTGTCACCCTATTACAAGACGGGTGTATTTAATCCTGAGGAGTGTCATGTTTTTCAGCCCATCGGTAATGTGGGATATCTCTAAAGAAGATCCTTAGGGCATGGCTCAAACCATTTGTTCTTCAGTGCTATCGCCAACAATCTTAAAAGATTCAACGTCATGGCTCCCAACAATGACATTGCTATTAGTGGAAATGTTGTACTTAACAACATCCTGATGGTCATGCCGCTTCCCAAACCATTCCCTAATACTTCCAAGACATGAGTTTTTTATGGGAAGAACTTTAGGCTGTGGCACGAACAGTTTTATACTATCACAGACTTGCATGGTGTTCTTAATACGCTTACTTAGACTGAAACTCCCCTAAACACAGACCAAGCCCAAAAATATATGTGGCAATATGCTAATAAGGTATGCAAACTTGCATTGATAATTACTTTATCTAATGACCTGTTTAATGTCTATAATGGTTACAACAAAGCAAACAAAATATGGGAGTCACTGGTCCTTAAGTACACTGCTGGGAAACAAAAGTTTGTGATTGGAAAACTCTACGAGAGGTGACTGATGACAAAGACATTAGACTCCATATTAACGAATGTTACAAACTGTTAGAAGAGCTTTAAGCTGAGAAGATTAATCTACCTGACAAGTTTGTTGCTGGGATTCTAATTAAGAAAATGTCAAATACATGGAACGATTATAAACAACAACTGAAGCATACCAAAAATAATTGTCGCTATCAAACTTGATCAGCCACATCATCGTTAAAGATACCAACTAGAAGACTGTCCCAACAGCAAAAGCAAAAGAGATGGCTCCCAAAACAAACTTCGTAGAAACAAAATCACCCAATAAGAGGTACAACTCTAACTCCAAGAACCAAAGAAAAATAAGAAACCTAATTACAAACTCAAGAATTTTAATCCCAAGTTCAAGAAGGGCCATTGTTTCATCTGTGATAAATCAGGTCATCATGTGGCATAATGCAAGAAGAGGGATAGAGGAAATCCTCAAGGATAATAATCCTTCCAAGCCAAAAGTAAATTTGGTTGAGGAGATGACAGCAGTAGAGATGAAAACATTACAGCAATGCTCTTATAAGCTCTCCTGTTTGATGTGAGAAAATAGGTGGTAGATGTACACCTTCTTTGAAGAAGGAGAATATCAAGTTATCTTGCTGACTTTCAAATTAAACTTCAAAGGTTCAAGTAAAAGATGAACAGAAAGATGCACATTGCGAACAAGGCAGACCTAGAAGGAAATGAATGTGAGCGAAGATTGAAGTTCTAGAACGCGAGAGCACGAAGGCAAACACGAACTCAAAGGCAATAAGTTACAAAGATAAACACACAATTGGAGATAAGCGTGAAGACGAAATTGAATATTGAACTTTGAACACAAAGTTTGAGAGGCAACTAAGATTTAAAAGGAGCTAAGGTAGAGACAAACTGTGTGCGCTCGCACGCAAAAGCAAGAATGAAGGAGGCATGAGCTCGATGTTATTTTCTAAATGGTTTTCAAGAATAACTGGTCTAGAAAATATATATACTCCTCCAATTCTAAATATAAAATTAATTTTGTGATATAATTTATATTATAAAATGGATCTTATATTTACGATCGGAGACGTATTTTTTTAACATAACTTTCTATGACGTTTTCTAATATAAGCAGGTTAGAAAGTAATCAAAATAATTGATTCTAGAAACCATTTAAAAGATTTCTACGCTGTTTAATTGTATAACCAAAATAATTGTATAATTGATTGTATCAGTCGCCTTCGTCATGACATCCTCTTTGTCTTGTACTAGTGAAAAAGTAAAGAAGGCTGGAGAGGGGAGAACAAGATATGAATATATCACATAAATATATAAAAATACAAACACAAATTTGTTGCAATTAGTATGAAACTTTTGATTAAGATCAGAAGACATGGAATCAACATTATCATCCACCTATCAGAAAAACAAAGAAGCAACAAATGAAGCTGAAATAATATTCATTTTATACATATTTTTCCGCTAATCAGAGAAGATCCCCTCTTCTCTATACAGTTCAGAACAGATTACAAACGGTGGAAAAGCTTGCAGCTAATAATCAGCTCTTGGAAGTAGAAGCTGCGGGTTGGTATAGCTGCTGATACATGGCAACCATCCTATTGTATGCATCCATGTTCATAGGCTGCATGAATTATTAATTTTTTGTATTTATTACATATATCCTTCAATATATATATAATATCATCAAATAATAATATTTTATCTTCACACATAAACTAACACAAAAATAGTTAAGAATTGAAATTAGGATAATTACTGTAAAGTCCCCAAAAAATATATTGAGTAAAAAATCTCATAATAGCTTAACAGTATGGAATAACAAGTTTTGGTGCAGAAAATGGCAATAGGTTCATATTCGTCATGTGATTGGAACTTTTTAATAATTACATTTTTTTGAGAACTAATAATAATTATCCTATTAAAATATTACTTTATAATGAAATCTAAGGGAAAAGTTTAATTGGAATAAATAATGGAGGTTACTTTGCCATGCATGTGAATATTATAGCCAAACCCAACTCAAGGTAATAATGATGATCACTAAGATGAACTTTTTTGTGAGGCTGATATATATCATAAAACAAGATACAGATAAGGACCTTCATTAATGTTACAATCAAAAAATTTATAAAGTAATGAAGTCCGTGGACAATTTTGTCTTTGAAACCTTGTGATAAAGGCCTTTTTAACCGTTGTTAATTGGCAATTATGGAAGAAATTCTTAGAGATTACTATGTCATTTATGCTCTAATTAATTAAAAGCCTCCCGAGTCACATGGTATGATATGACCCATACTTTTTTTTTTTTTAAAGCACCATGATATGACCCATCCTTGTTTAGGGTTTTTTATCTATCCACATTAATTTTACACACAGCCTCTCCTTTCATTTTTTTTTTATTTTATTCTCTCTCTCTCCATTTTTAATTTTATTTTCTCTCTCAATTAAATAATGTTACTTCTTCCATCCTATTTTCTATTTTTTGTGCTTATTTCTTGAATTTCGAAATCCCAAATTTTGAGATAATTACTTTAAAAAATTAAATTTTGAAATCTGATGGATATTTTAATTTATATTTTACAATCTACTATTCCACTGCTTAAAGTCTCTCTCTTTTTTTAAATCTTCCTTATTTTTATGGTTCATTTTATGTAGACATGCGAATATTATAAACAGATTTTGATAAAGGGAATCAAACTAAACAAAATATCTAGCCCGGGGGGGTCCTCTTATACCTTCAAGTGTTATTACTTATGATAACTTGTTTGTACAAAAGTATTTTGGTTTCCTTGATTTTTCCATGGAGTCGCTAAATCCAATAAGAAATATGGGACTAACTGTAAGTTAGAGGCTTTTTATTAGTTGAAGCAAAAAAAAAAAGTAACGTCATGTTCTTTAAGTACCTAAGAATTTTTCCAAGAAGAAAATGGCGGAGACATTCACAGATACGCTATCAAATCTATGACAAACAAAATCCAATTATATTGCTGCTTTCCAAATTGATTTGACTGATTGATTTCATTCAACAGCCCATCTTAATAATGCATATCACGCTTTTTTCGCGACTAAAAGCAAAAGGCAAGCTAGGAGGTTAACCAACAAAATTATTTTAAAATACTTATCCTGTTTTTAATATAGGACTTAATTATTAAGTTAATTTTGATTCTAAATATAAAACTTATTTTTCATATTTATCAATTTTTTTAAATTACCCCTATAGATCTCTATCAACCATAATTAAATAGAAGAGGAAGAGAGGTATGAAGAAAGATGATTATAGTATTTTATGAAAGACATGTCATATTTCTTATAATTATCTAACTTACTTAACTTTCTTAATCTAATTAGTTAAATAGGCCTTATATTAAGGATCGTAGGAGTAAAATATAAAAATTACCTAATAAGTCTTCTAATTTTTAAAGAAAAAATTAGTCTTTCAATTCTTAATTTTTATAGTTTTGACTTAATTGTAACTCAATCTCTAAATTTTAACTAGGTATAACTCAATTCTATAATTTTGACTCATTATAACTTAATCACTAAACTTTGATTAACTACAACTTAGTCATCACTAAACTTTGATTAACTACAACTTAGTCCTTATAGTTCACCATTTAAAATTTTAGTCTCTAAGTTTATGAAATATTTAGTTTTATTTTTTTTAAAAGGGTTAACGTGTAAATTTATGCCAAAAATTTTCACTCAGGAGCACTGGGTAACTGAAATTTTTTTGGGAGCGAATTTGTCCCAAAAATTTAAAATGTAGCAATATTGTCTCTTACTATTAAAAAACTTATATTGACTGTTAAAATAATAATGTTGACCAATAACATTTTTAATAGTAGGGACAATATTACTACAATTTTAAACTTCTGAAGCAAATTAGCTTCTAAAAAGACTTTTAGATATCCAATGCTCTTAAATAAAAACTCATGGGATAAATTTGCACTTTAGTCCTTTTTAAGATAGAGGGACCAAAGTATTGAATAGTTAAAATTGTACTAGAGACTAAGTTACAGTAAGTCACTATTCATAGACTAAATTAGAATTAAGTCAAAACTATAAGAATTGAACTAAATTAGGTTAAAATGTAGAGATTGACTTAATTTATAAATCATGACAACATGATAAAAAATTAAACAAAATAAGAATTATCACCTGTGATTGGCCTGCGAAAAATGTGGATAATGGGTCAGGCATCACTGTAGTTGGTGGAGCTGCTTGGAGTCGATCAGAGCCAAGCGATGATGCATCCCATGAAGCCATAGGCATGAATGAATGAGGATGATGGAAGACAGCAGCAGGAGGGATGCCAGCAATGTTATTAGCACCACCCATGGCATTCATGTCAATGCCCATTCTCATGCCCAAACCCATGCCCATGCCCATACCCATACCCATGCCCATGCCCATGGGAGGAGGCATCATGGACATCTGAAGCTGCTGTTGCATGGCCATTGGTAACATCATGGCTGACATATTCATTTTACTCATCATTTGCACTTGTGCTTGCAATTGCTTTAGATACTCTATCACCTCATCCAGCATTGAAGCTTTATCTGTCTGAAATCAATAATTGTCTGTTTTCACTTCACCAAAATCATAACTAAAATCTAAGCTAAATTACACAAAATTCTCCCAAACTTGTAATAACTATCTACAAATAATCCCCTCAATCTTTAAAATTTAGTAACAATCCCACCTAAATTTTTAATATTGCATGAATAAACCCCTAATTAACCATCAATTATATAATCCATTCAAAAAAATATTTTTGGAGTGTATATTACTTCCTCAAACTTTGAGTTATATACATTTAAGCTACCTAAAGTTTAAAATATACGCAGATAAATAATGGACAAAACAACTAAAAATGGAGTTATTTGCATAAATATGAGAATTTAAGGGAATTTATTATAAAGTTTCAAAATTTAAGAAAAGTAGTATCCATGCACAACGTAAACTTCAAGGGAAAACAGATATTGCAAGTTTTTACACATATTTCCTTTACCTTTTTTGGAAGCCTTTTTACAGTCAATATGAAAAGAAAAGAAGAGAGGGGGAAAAAGTGAAGACTTAGCCACCCTTAACATCCCTAAATCTCAAATCTTTACAAAGTTAAAACTCCTTCTGCACTTTCAAAACTTTTAGTTATGTTTTTCAAATTACAAATTCAACATAATCTTGATAATTAACTTTGAAAACAAACAAATAACATTAACTTCTTAATTAATGCTTTTCCCCCACAAAGCCATGAATTTGGACGGTTTTGATTGGTTAATTGTGTTTTGGCCTTTATTTAGATTTTGTAATTTGGCTAAAAACAATGAAGAACAAATCATATACACAAAGAAAGGGCCTACCACTAGAAAGGACTTATATGGGAGCAGTTGGCTGTCACCTCACCTAACAACCCAATGTCAAAGTGCTACTATGCGTTCCAGAGAGAGTGTTTTTTCGTGGACAATAAATGCGTGGCTGCCAAACACTGCCTTATTATTCCCACATCCACCTCATTGGAAGCAAGTTTTGAGCCACATTTTCCCCAACCCCACTTCTGTCTCCTCAATCCAAATCTATGTCTCCTCATCTGACTTTAAAATATTATATAAAATATATTTTTTTTTTATATACAGACATATTTATCTAGTGGTACTTAAAGCAAATATATATATTTATATTTTTATATATAGACACATACTTATCTAGCGGTACTTAATGCAATGATTAAGACTATCTGTTTAATTAATTAACAGCAAATTTTGTGTGATGTCAAATTAAAGTTCGATGATCTTATCATGCGTGCAAGTTGTGACTAAATAGGGAAAATTACAATGAGACTCCAAGGGAAAAAAATAATTACAAAACAAATTCTAAAAATTGTCATATCTAAAACTTGTCATTACAGGTTACTTAAGTTGTTATTAGAATTTTTTAATAATTATTTTACTTCTTTGAGACCTGATTATAGTTCTTCTGACTAAATATTTATAATAATAATAATAAAAAGAGAATTGATATGAAGTCTCAAGTATATAAAAACATACTTATTAAAAAATCTCAATGATAATAAAGCAGCCTGCAATGATAAGTTTCAAGATAGTAAATTATAATGGCTCAGTTGTCATTGAACTTACCGGTAATTATCATGCCCTTGCAAAGGTTTATAATCAAAGATATTAAAAAAAAAAAAAGGTAAAACTATTCTTTGAGAAGGCTTTTATAAATGAAGGAAACTTACATCAAGTGAAAACTTTTAGAAGTTTGAGTTGTAACATTTTTATGTTATATACCCTATCTTCGGTCTAAAATAAAAGCTTTTTTTTTTAACTTTCTTATTAGAATTAATAAAGGATATAGTTGAATTATTAAAATATTACAGGTTTATCCTATTTAAATGCACGGTCCCCCCCCCCCACCCCAAAGGAAAAAGTCTTAGGATATTATAAATAAGGATATAGATGGGATCATATATTTTCATCCTCTCAGTAGTGAATTCAAATACACACACACACATACCTACCGAATATTGTTGAATTTTCCAAACTCTCCCTTAGAGAATTTTTAAACATCCTCCTTCCACATTTAATTTTCTAAAAAGAAGATGAAAATCTTAATTGAGATTTATTTATTTATTTTAAAAAATATATTAGCTATAATTTTTTCCCATGTGAGGCTAAATGAGGACATCCATTCCATCTTTCTAATGAGGTAGACATCCATTCTGTCGTTTACAATGAGTAGTGAACACAGTACTTACAATTTTGATGGTTCAGCTCAGATGAGAAAAAGATATTTAAATAGTGGAACTAAAAAAGTTGGAATCGAATTCAACAAAAGAATTATTTCAGAAATTTTACCAAGAAAAAAAATAAATAAATCTGAATGAAACTGATTTTTCAGAAATATTTAATGTCAAATGGCCATAGGACCACTATATAATTGGGTGGGAATATGCATCACAAAAGAAAGATGCTACAATAAATTCTTTTCCAGTGTATCAAAAAAAGATACTACTATAAATTTAAGCATACCTTATCTTTACAAGGAGATCTCTAAATTGTTTAGATTTAATTTTTTTTTTAATTTTATTAGTTAATCTGAATAGTTTAAATTTAGTTTACACCATATACATCATTTCAAAAGTTAAAACTACTTTTTTCAAAAAAAAAATTTGCAGCTAGAATATTTTGATGTTCTTGTTTTTCCCCTTTTGTCAAGGATATTTTTTATGTTTCATGTTCTATTTGCTAAAATAAAAATTTAGAATATGAAAAATAATAAAGGGCCAAGGTGCATATTTCCCTGAGGTGGGTAATAGGAATGGCACTATGGTATGAAAATATTAATTTCCCAAAAAAAAATTTAATAAAAACTGAGTTGCAATATATTAGTTCAAAATATAGCCAAATATGACGCTTGCCTACACATCAATGGGAGTGACCTATGAAATTTAAATACTACCTCCGGTCCTTAATATAAGACCCTGTTTAACTTTTATTTTGGTCCTAAATATAAGACCCCAATCCACTGTCTCTCATATTTATGCATTTTTTCCCAAGATAGTCCTTCTAATAATTGTAGTCCTAGCCAATATAGTTGATTAGTAAGGATATTTTAGAAAAGGCAATGCCTATTTATTACAAATAATTAACTTAACTTCTTTCCTTAATTTCCTCAAATTAATCAACTGGGTCTTATAATTAGGACCGGAGATAGTACTTTATTTGCAACTAAGACATTCATATTTCCTAATATTTGAATCAGTATTTATGTGACTTACTTTCTCAATAAAATTTTGTAAAACCTAATCATCATTACATTCATTTTTTATGACCTAATTAATATCATTTTATACACACACATATACACACTCATTCTTAAGAATAGCATGGGATCATATTTATTCTCACTATTTTTTTTTTGTGTTAATTGATTGAAAATTTGGGAGATGGGACCATTATGGAAATCAAAATAACTGACTGACACTACTGATACAACACTATCATTAGTAAAAGCCATCAATCGCAACTATGTATTGAGTATGTACCTTGCTGGAATTTGGGACCAGCTTTTGCAATGTCTTCATCCTCTGGTTTATCTTATCTCTCCTTTTCTGAATAACAAATAAGTCAATAAATCAATACTTAATTAAATAAATATTAAAAGAGTTAAAATCATTATTGGTTCTTATAATTTGATCAAATTTTGACTTTGATTTGGGTAGATTCAAATTGTAATTTTTTTGTTTTTTACACTTTCACAAGACCTTAGTTTGAGTTGATGCTGTTTCGCATAGAGACCAAAACATAAACCCGTTATAAGTATAGGACCAGAACAAAAGCTCATTTAGTCCATATACTTTTAACGAATTTTAATTTTGATCCATATACTTTTAGTGAATTTTGGTTTTGATCAACATACTTAACGGTTTGTTAAACTATGATCAAGTTCTTATAAAATCTAAGAGACTAACAAATATGATTTGAAACTACATTTACTAAAATCAACATTTGATCAAACTGCAAGGACCATTAATATTAATCCAATATTAAAATATTAAATTCAATTAAATGAAAAGAGGTAGGCCCACCCTCTCAGATTGGTTGTGGATAGCTGCCGCCCTGCTTCTTTTAGTGGACACTGGGGATTTTCCTATTCCTTTCTTTTCGTCCCCTTCATCACCTGTCTCATTCTGTGAATTTTAAAACAGTGTTAAAATTATTTTATCAATTAATTACTTATTAAAGTAATCAGATGTAAAAGAATAAGAGAACTGAAGTCAGATGTGCCATAATTATTTCCCACATATACATAGTTTGTGTTGAGGACCAATGATTACTCGTTTCAAAAAGTTATGGCACTTTGTTTTTTAAAAAGAAAAAAAAAAAAGAGATGGTCAAAGTACAAGTTTTTTCTATAACAGAACGCAAAAAAAAAAATGTACTCCTCAATCAACAGAATAATTATAATATTTATAAAATATGAACCGTGGAAATTTTCAAAAATTTTTATGATATTTGAAATTCACATTTATCATATTATTAAATTTCCAATTTAATCTATTTTCTTAGGTTATTTTCAAACTTTTCAGCATAAATATTTTTTTTCAATTCTCATATTTCTTTTTATTTATAACATTAATCTTTTTAATCTACCGAAAAATTAAATCATTTTTTTTAAAAAAATAAAATTTATAGTTTAAAATTTAAGGAACTAAAATTAAAGTGAGAACAAATTTAAAGGATTTTAAGATTATATTAACCCAACAAAAAATGGTTAATAACACTAACGAAAATAAGATAGAAAACAGGGAAGAGAATTTGCCTGTGGTCTGCTATGGCCAACAGAATCGTGGTCATCGGCGGTGGTTGTTTTGGTGCACTGCTTGGCGGAGCTGGTGTTTTCCGGCGAACCCATCGACGTGGAAATGAAACCCATTCCCAATTCCTTCTCGCACGTGTCCAAAGTCACGTGCTGGCTTTCTCTTCCAAACGTGGCGCTTCCACTCACACTTGGATCTCTGCCACTCCACTCGGGAGCCACCGGCACACGCGCCACTCTGGCGCGTTTCGCCGCCAAGAGCGCCTCGTCCTCTTGATTGGTGGGGCCACTACAGGACCCCACACGTGTGGAACAGCCCACCACGCACGTGCTAAGCGTGCCGCCACCACCACCGGCCACTGAGTCCATAACCTGCGTCGTCTGCTGCTCGTCCGTACGGTTTGAACAAGGCACCATGCCATCCATGGTCATCGTATTCGACGCCGCCGCCGCGTTAGCCATTGCAGCCGCAGCCGCCGCCGCTCTCTGGGGTTCAAACCACGGCACTAAGTCATCTCCCTGAGTGGCGCCGACGTCGAAGACGGATTTGCTGCGGTGGGGAAACCGAGTGGCTTGGTTAACTATGGACTCCAAGGTGCCACTCGCACGAGGCTTGTCCCAAGTGGACTTGGAAGAAGGGGCTGCCGACCTGGCGGCGTTGCCGGCGGCGGAGTTGGGTTTCTCCGGTACCCTTGGCAGACCCAAACCATGCATGGAAAGCTGTCCATTTTCCCATGTCAGCTCCGCAACTTCGTAGTCTAACCTGCAAATCATCAAATACCAGATAATCCCACCCTCAATATAGATTCAATATTATCTTTGAAAGATGCAAAAAGTTAACTGAATACTAAAAAACAAAAAAATGTCTGCGTTTGTTTGGTATTTAGTCAGATAACACAGAAGAGAAAGTATAGATACATGGGAACATCAGGAGCTGTGGAGTTGGGATTTGAACGAAGAGAGACTCTGGGGGCTGTCGGATTTTCATCCAAATCCCAGCTAGGAACACACTGACTCATTTGGGGAAGGCGAAGGAATTATAATCGTTGTTTGGTTTCGTTGCCGCAGAAGAACAGAAAGGAAAGTGAGCTGTGGATTTTATTTCACGAGGCAAAGGGCGAATCTAGTCCACGTGAAGGAACAAAAGGGCAAAGGGAAGTTCCCAGTTTGAGAAATAATTGCTTTCTTTTTGGGAAAACAAGTTGGGGAATTGGGGAATATACTGTAAAACAAGAGGGGAGAAAGGGGCGTATAAAAAATTGTGGGGAGAGATATTACAATTATTATTATCTACTATTACCGGACAGAATGACAAGTACATGAAAGACGAGTTATTTTGTTGTTGTTTGATCCAGGTGGCTTTAAATGAGCCAAGCAAAAATAAATTCATCAAAATGGCTTTTAGAAATTGGGTATATAATTTAGGAAAAACTGACTATAAATTTTTTGTTGAAAAATTAATTAACAAATAATGTCTAAGAATTTGTGTAACTTAATTGATTTTTTTCATGCAATTTATCTTCATTTGTATGTAATTATCATTCCATCTGTAACATTTTTCTTTTGTACAATTGAATTTTTCTTATACACAGTCTGTTTTTTTTGTGTTCTAATTAGTTCTAATGTTTTATTCAAATTATCTTTTCTTTATGAAATTTAAGTTATATGAAAATTAAATTCTCTTTTCTCATGTAATCCACCCAATTAATTTTTTAATGAAGAATTTGTCCCTAATTTTTCCTCTAATTTAACAGTGTTTTAACATACCTACCTTAACCACCTATTTGTTAGAAAAATTAGGTTAAAATATATGTTGATTTGTCTAAGTTTACATCAAGTTTCAATTTAATCCCTTAAATTTATAAAATGGATTTTTAATGTATTAATCTTAACATTGTTGGTATCATTTAATAAAAAACTATGCTAGATTTACATCAATTTTTAGTTTAGTGTATCAAATTAAAATATATTTTTAGTTTTTTTTAATTCTAATACTGTTGACCTCATTTTAGTGGAAGATATTGACTCAACAAATTTAATAGTGACTTTGCAATTAAATGCTAACAAAACATATTCTAAATTTTAATTCTTTAATATGGTTATTTTTACATTTTAAAATTTAAACATAATTTGTCACCATTTAAATTTGTTGAGGTAAGTAAAATTTGATGTAAAATATATTTTATAAAATCAAATAAATTAAGTAAAATTTAATGTAAATTTAAAAAGAGAAATGTAGTAGTAGTATATTTTACCCCAAGAACAAATTAATATACTGAGATGACATCAACTTGTAAGTCGGTCCTATAACTTGAAAAAGATCTTACACCATGAACATATAACAGCACATAATCCCGCCATGTGTCTTCCATATTTTCCCCTATATCTTCCATATGGATCAAGCACAGCACATCCCAATGATATCCACTAATGCAGTTACATGTCATTTAATTTGAACAAACTGAATCAGTTTAATTTAATGATGTATTTTGATTATTCTATGTTTTAGTTCAGTGTAACAAATTATTTACACCCTTGTATCACCAACAAAAAAAAATTATTTATATCATTTTCAGAAGAATTACTCAATTCATCTGATTACTTAGTGTGTGGAAATAAGGTTTTATGCATTGTCTAGTCTAATTATATGGATTAGTCACCAAAAAGTTAGTTTGAAAAAAAGATGAGTCACAAAAATGACAGCACATCCCATGCTCATAAAAAAGATGAGCTCGGGAGTACTCATCATAATATGAACTATTCAGATTGATACACATGTTTTCTATATATGTGGCCAATTTTATTCTCTTTTTATATATATAAAACATCAATTTTATTCAAAACTAGATAAAAAGATTACATAAAATGACCGGCCAGTCATACTCGATCAATTTAGGCTAGGTCTAAATAAACCAAAAGAGAATGACGGTCCAACATGACTGAAGTAAGAAAATAAAACAAACTAACAATAAAGACCACAAAAAAGAAAATTAAAATAGTAAGAACAAAAAAAGGACATGTGACACCCCAACAATTAAAGCAGTCTTGGTTAATTGATAGTAGCTCCCAATCCTAGCCAATAGATCTGATCTTGCTACAACGACCGTATCTCCTCCAAACATAGATGCTAAATAGCCCGCACCTATGTTCTTGAAATTGCATCATACGAATGAACTCATAGCTCAGGCTTGCTTCCAAAAGATAATGTCACTATGAGTCATTGAGGTAATCCAATGTCTCACGACATGATGCACCCAATGTGGCCAATTTTATTCAAACATAAGTACAACCATATATAAAAAAGAATGGGCTTATCCAATATCAAGTAACCCATATAAAGAGGAAACAATGTAAACAACCCAACAAAAGCAATGAAAACAACCCGAAACTAAAAAAAATATTTGGGTAGAATCAAAATTATAATTTTAAAAGTGTTTTTACAGTATACAAAGTAAATATATGAAGGAGTTTATCTTGATTTGTGAAAAAACATTTTTTAAAAACACTTTTTCTAATATCCAAACACCCCCTGATACTAAAGACCTAGAAACAAGTTCACCTAAAAAGTCATGACGCCACGTAGGAACAATATGACCATACTGCTAAAATCAAGACGTGAGTATGTTTTGGGAAAAATGACACATAAAGAAGCTTGAAAATGTGAAATGCCAATTTAAGAAACTAAGAAAATGTAATGACAGAGGGGAAAGTCCTTCCCAAATTGAAATTTTGAAATTTAGTAAAATAATAAAAATACTTTAAAAAAAAAACTCAGCCCCTCACCGATGGCCAACAGTCAGCAACCGCCACCGACGACTGGCTGTCGGTGGCCGGCAGTCCGCTGGGCAATCGCGCCGGCCACCGGTGTTATGGCTGCGGTGAAGTTTTTTTGTCACAATATTTTTTTTTGCATGAAAGAATATTGGTTCAAAGTGGTAGGAGTGGGATTTGATCTCACAACCCTTTGGCTATTTGGGCCAACAAAAAAAAAAAAGCCATTAGGCCATCAAAGACTTCTTAATCTTATAATACAAACAAAAATATAAGTTGACTTTTTTATTATAACCCCAATCTGTGACAACAATTTACCTAAGGATGACAAGTCTTAATTGAGAAATAACGAATCTAAATTTGATGTTAACAAAGTAACTTTTCCTGATACATAACAAGAAGTAGCATATACATTAATTAAAAATAACCATAATTTATTTGAAAATGACACGTCTTTACTGGAAAATGACAAGTCTAAACTTGAGATTAACAATGTGTCTTTTCCTTATACATAACAAGAAATAGCATATACATTAATTAAAAATAACCATAATTTATTTGAAAATGACACGTCTTTACTTGAAAATGACAAGTCTAAACTTGAGATTAATAATGTGTCTTTTCCTGATACATAACAAGAAATAGCATGTATATTAATTAAAAATAACCATAATTTATTTGAAAATAACACGTCTTTACTGGAAAATGACATGTCTAAACTTCAGATTAATAATGTGTCTTTTTTTTATACATAACAAGAAATAGCATGTATATTAATTAAAAATGATTATAATTTATTTGAAAATGACACGTCTTTAGTGAAAAATGACAACAATTATTTGGGAATGTATATGTTATTTCTTGTTATGTATCAGGAAAAGTTGCTTTGTTAATATAAAGTTTAGATTTGTCCTTTTCCAATAAAGATGTGTAATTTCCAAGTAAATTATGGTCATTTTTAATTAATGTATATACTATTTTTTGTTATATATCAGGAAAAGACACATTGTTAATCTCAAATTTAAACTTGTCATTTTTCAATAAAGATGTGTCATTTTCAAATAAATTATGGTTATTTTTAATTAATATACATGTTACTTCTTGTTATGTATCAGGAAAAGTTGCTTTGTTAATATCAAATTTAGACGTGTTATTTCTCAATTAAGACTTGTTATCCTCAGTTAAATTGTTGTCACAGGTTGGAGCCATAATAAAAAACTCAACTTATATTTTTGTTTGCATTATAAGGTTAAGAAATTTTTGATGGTCCAATGATCATCTTTCTTTTTGTTGACCCAAATAATGAAGGGGTTGTGGGATCAAATTCTATCCCTGCCACTTTGAACCAATATTCTCCCATGGAAAAAAAATATTGTGACAAAAAAATTCACCGACAGCCACCATGCTGATGCCTGGCGGCAGCTGCTGGCCGTCGGCAGTGGCTACCAGTCGCCAGCTACCGGTGAGAGGCTGCGGTTTAAAAAAAAAAAAAAGAAGACAAAGGGCATTTTTTGTCATTTCATTAAATTTCAAAATTCTATTTTGGGAAGGATTTCCCTCTCTATCATTATATTTCCTTAGCTTCACAAATTGACATTTCACATTTTCAAACTTCTTTATATGTCATTTTTCCTACTTTTTGCGGTATTGAAAAAACGTATAGTAAAACAAATTAGATATGAAAAATTTGGCATGAAATCCCAGGAGAGAATTTGATGCGTTTTTTTTTTGGGGGGAATGCATGTGTTTGTTTTAGAATAAGAGGTACTCCTCCGGTCCTTAATATAAGACCCAATTGTTGAGTTGGTTTTTGTCCTAAATATGAGACCTATTTCTCATATTTATCAATTTTTTCTAAATTATCCCTATGGATACTCCTTCAACCATAATCAAGTAGAAGAAAAAGATGGGGTATTAAGAAAGATGATTATGGTATTTTAAGAAAAACGTGTCATATTTTTTATAATTAACTAACTTATCTAACTTCCTTAATCTAATCAAATTAGTTAAATGGGTCTTATATTAAGGACCGGAAGAGTATATTACAGTACAGGTATTTGATGAATTTCTTAAAACTTGGAAGATTAAACTACCTATTCGAATTCTTTATTAGTTCATTTGGAAGTCAGTCAAATGAAATTCCTTTTGGACCAAATTCTCATCAAACATCATAGGAACATAAAAGATTATTGTTGCACTTTTTGTGAGGAAAGTTCAAGGTTGCCAATTAAGGCTAGTTTATCATATCTGGGAGTCATTCTCATGTTTCTTACCTTTTTGATTGGCTGCAAGATATATTTTCAATAATGGTCACCACCAAATCATTAAGCAAGTCTTTCTGATGCTTCGCTATTGCTTATGATTCCATGGAAATGAAGCAATGTTCAGAGAATAATAGTTTGACTCTATCTTGGTAATTTCAAAATCGAATCATCTAACTAATTTTTATGCAGCTTGTTGAAAAGACTCCGAACAAAAAGCATTTTTACGGAAGAAGGTTCACTATGACAATTATTACCAATGCTTAATTATTATTTGCAAAATAACTGGCATGAAAACTCATCAAATTGAAAGAAAATGAATGGTAGGTGGTTTTTATGTTTACTCTGGTCTGCAAAGAGTTGGTTCTTCCAGGAAAAAAAATATAAGAGCTAAATAATTAATTTATAAAAAATAAGAAAATTAATTAACTTAGTTATTCATAATAAATATGTGTTAGTTTTCATAAAATGTCTTTTTTAATTATTTGTATTGAAAACTTTCTTCATTGATGAAAACTCTATTATGCAATTAATAGGATTGGATGAGAAAATAATTATAAATTAGTAAGACAAAGTGAATTAAAATCTTATATTCAAAATAAAAAATTTTTAATTAACTCTTATATTTTATTGCTCTCTATTTTTATGTTGCAAATTTGTCATCTCTCATCGCAGGAATTTGAATTTTGATTCATCATGTTGTGAGGGATTAATCTTTTTTAATGGAATTAACTCATGTTGGTTATTACTATTAATATTAATTGTAATGTTTTTTATTTTTTGGTTGGAAAATTTTATGCAGATGTTCGTGCTTAACCCAAGCCAAAGGCAAAGCACTTGATCTAGCTTCTCCTAGATTATATCATGTTAGGCAAAGTGAATCTACAACAGATCCTCAAGTATTTATCTAGGTCCATCTAAATCTAGGATGCCTTTCCAAGTGCCGAACAGGAAATTGGATTCCCTCTCTTATTGGTAATAGGGTGTGATTCTTAATGCCGAAGTTGTGCATAATGGGTAATATGTAATGTTCATTACAAAAAGAAATACATGCTAGAAATATGGGGAAACTTAAAGATGCCCAATTTATTATGGGTTAGCTGTCCAAAGCAGGGAACAAATAGGTTAGGGGGTGTTTGGCAAAACCAAAACCAAGGTTTCAGAATCACTTTTCCACAAAACGAGATAATCTCCTCCACATATTTACTTCGTAATCCGTAAAAGCACTTCTGAAATCATGGTTTGTTTTCTATCCAAACACTCCCTTAACACCGAAAAGAAAGTGGGCCTTTATCTGTTAAGATTTTTCAACCTCTTCGTCGTAGTAGGTTGTACGAACGAACCGCCAACCCGATCAAAAGGAATTAAATTTAATTAAAGGGGCTAATTTCTTATGACTTGGCAAATCAAGTTTGAATTCCCATTAAAAGAGAAAAACCTACCAACATATCATTTCCAGTGTAACCAATAAAACCAATTTTAACTCGCATAACTCAGGTATTCTCAATATATCTTATTCAATTTTGTAACAAGATGTAGAATTAACTATTTATAATTACAAACCATTTATAATCACACTGACAATATTGAAAAATTGTTATCCACAGGAATATATAATTAAAGTTAATTTGTCAACAGAATATACAAAATTTACTATTGATGGTTATGAATATCATCATATATGACACCCAAGACAAAATAGTAATATATATCACCCTTAATAAATTAATATTTTAATAATATGTTGCATAAGATAGTAGTAGATATATATAATTGTTTGTAGTCAATTATATACAACTAAGATCAATTATAATTTCGCTGGTAAAAAAAAAAAGAAGATAAATTATAATTTCAGTATAATAAAAATGATGATAATATTATAATATTACAATTCAAATCCTATTAGTATGTTGAAACCATTTGTAAATTTCTAATCAATTAATATGATAGAAATGAGTATATTAATTTTTTTATATAAAAATTTTAGACAGGGGTTTAGATTAAATCCAAACCAAGAGTAGGCATTTGAACAACTCCTCTTAAGTAATACTAATATTGGGTAAGACGAACTTACTTTATACTCTTAGATGTTAACTTAAGCATCCTATTCTAGGATGTTTTCCCAAACACCGTGACAGAAAATTGAGCCTTCTCCTTTTTTAGATGAGAGGGTACGGTCTTAACACTGAACTTTTGGACAATGGGCAATATGAGCATATGATGATTGTGACATTTGGGGGGTGGGATTTGGCATGTCTTTTTTCAAGTGGGCCATGCCAAAGTTGGCCTGTTTTGAAATGGGTAACAAAATTTGCAAGCCGACCCACTTTTCTTAGTGGGTTCAAGGGATCAAGTTGGTCCATATTGTCAAGTCCAAAGTAATGTCAAAATCTGTTTTGTTTTGTTCCATAAAAAAAAAGGCTGTTTTTGTGTTAAAAATTGTCACCATTTAATTACATGTTATGTATAATTGGCGTGTAAGTTGCCATAACAGGTTACTTCTCGGGTTCTTTTTACAAGGCATTTTTAACATGTTTTATACAGATCAAAAAAAGCTTTAAACTATATTAATTCTTCATTAAAATACAACAACTTTGTAACTTTATCTCTATTTAATATATCCATCTTTCAAAAAAATAACCGTATACATTATAATAAATAAAGGATAATATAGCATATTTATAGTAAAAATTTAATTAAGTAACTTATAAATAGGACTAAGAAAAACTTTCTCTCTTTATCTCATAAATAAGACCAAAGAAGTATATTTAAAATATATTTCATACCTTGTATTATAAATACATGGAATGACAATAAGTTGTGATGTGGGCTAATATGTTTGTATGCATTCTGCATTAGTACAAATGTCAACATATGATGATGGTACCTATCTTATAATTGTGAACACATTAATTTTATATTTAGTATGTGATATGGATTATCTAATTCATCTTCTGCTTAAGCTATTTCATGTTTTGTATTGTAAATAGATGAAATTCTAAAGTCAACTAGTACAGGGCCGTGAGATGCGCATATGTGATTGCATGTTTGTAGATCATCTAAAAAAGGACTGAGTTCAGGTCAAATAATACAAGGCAACATAGATATATAATTTAGTCTACAAAATTCCCAAAAAAAAAAAGCTTCTTTGTAAATGATATTGGAAGTTTTGATTGTTGATCTCCCTTCTTCATCCGAAATTAAATTTTTTATCCCCTCTTTTCTCCTAACCTGTGAGGCTATAGGAAAGATGGGACGTAGTATATATAATCCAACAATTAGAAAGCTTTGACCTCAACTCTTATTAATGGTCATTGCAAATGCTAATATCACTGGAAATTGTCCCTTACAAAAGGAATGAGAACATTGGTCTTTGGATTGCCTCCTAATATCACCTTTGCTCCCTCGTTCAATACTTTCACAACATCAATGTTGCCTGCCCACCAAAAGTGATGGTTGTTTGGAAATTTTAAGGATTGTGCATTTTTTATGTGGTTTTTTTAGTTTGTGAGCAGTTTTGCAGCTTCAAAAAAACAGACGTGAAAATTTATGGTTATTTTTGTTTATTTAATAAAAAAATGATGTTGTAATGTGATTAGCAGGTTTATACCGTTGGATTAATCTGACGGCAATGGTGGAGAGATGAGCAGGCTGCCGATCGCGAAGGATGGGCAGCGGATCCGGGTCCCGTCGGGACTCTTGCTCTATGTCTGGTTCGCCTTGGGCTCACGCACCCTGCTTGATAGAGGAGGAAGAGACATTGGTCTCAGGTCACATCCTCAAGGGGCACCTCCAACAATGGCGACGACTACGGCGGAGCCATCGGATGCACAATCTTCATTATCGTCAGGCATCCATCCCACAACCGACAAGCTGAAAACCCTAGATGAAACGACGCCATTCGTTGATTACGCTGTCCAGCAAGCCAAGCTCTATGAGAAGGCATTCAACGACGCGCTCGATTCTGCTCTTGAGTCTTCTAAATCCCGGCTTTCTCAGATTCATTCCACATCCTCGGCGCATTTTCATCAGGTCTTGGTAAGTTAATCATTCGTTTTGTTTGGGCCCCGAGAAAAAGGATTATGGATAAAAACAAAGAATGGAAGTTTAGAATTTGCTTGTTTAGTTCGCATCTATCTTCGGTTTTTGTCCTCTTTACATGATATTTCGAGTGATGACTCAAGTAATGGATTGTGCATTTCATCATTTGTTGAATGTATGTTAATAACGGGAATATTTGCTAATCTTGGCAAAATAATTGCAATTGATCAAGCATATTTTCAGGGGCTTCGAATCCTCCAGCTAACTAATCAGGCTTTTTTTTTTTGTTCTTGTTCTTTTCTTTTTAATATCAATGTAATTGTAGGGTGCTTTGCATGATCTCAAGGCTGATTATAATGCTTATGAGGAGCTTTTATTTAGAAAGATCAAAGGTTTGTTATTTGCTTGTTTTACTGATTTAATTGATACTGAAGTAATGTAGGCTCATCTGTTAATACCTTCATGGTTCAGATACTTGTGTTTTGCTTTTCCATTGCAGAGGGTGTTGATATTGCAGCTTCTCATCCGATTATTACTTGTGGGGCTACTGCTGCCTTGAGTTTTCTTGTACTTAAAAGTAAGTGTCAACTCTATAATAATTTGGTTTGTAGAAAATAAGTGTGGGGTGAATTCTTGCCATCCTGCATGGTGCATTTGGAATATAACGTTGAAAGAAAGTAGCCATCGTTGTTAATATGTTTGATTTAAGTATAACGATACTAACCTTTTATATTATAGCCAGCCTACCTGTGAACCTTTGGCCGTGTTCATTTTAAACTATGGAAAGAGATTCCTTTTTCATAGTATGCAAATCAAGATATGGAATATTTATTATATTTCTGTTATCATTACTAAACATTACTTGTCTTTTTTCATTACTTATTTTATAAATACATAGGGGAATAAAAGACATTTCATATTTTTCTCTTCTCATTTAGCTCCCTTATTCCATTTCATTTATTGTACCAAATGAGGCCTTTATCATCTCTACGCTGGAAACATATAATTTTATAGCCTTGCTGGTGATCGCAAATGTCAATAACATGTTTGTTGTATATTTACGCTGTTAAATGCATCATGCAGTTTTGATATCCTTATTGTAAATTTTCAATATGTTACTTGATAGTACATATGTATTTTTCTTTAATTTGTTTACCTCAGGGCCACGCCAATTCATGTACTACAATGCACTGCGCCTTTTTGTTAGTGAAGAGGTGAGTAAATGGCCTATGATTTTACTTTCTTTAAAAGGATAACAATACATGCTGAAGTGCAGTAGCAACATAAATCATGTCTGTATTTGATAGAACTCCACAAAATACTGATGATAACATCTAAATAGTATTGAATGAAGGGAAAAAATGGCAGAGTCCTTTGATACGCTCATGGCAGCAGATAGAGTCCTCAACACTAGTAGAAACAGATAGGAACTATGGAAGCAATGCAACTCAACAATAGTGTGATACAAAATTGCAGAATAAGAGCTACGAAGCAACATTCTCCAGCTTTTGAGATGCTAGAGACGCTTCATCTAAAGCCTAAGTTCCCTTGCCCCGTCTGATCCTTTAATTTCCTGCATATCCACTCTAATCGACTACCCTCTCTCTCTTCATTCCCAGTAACCAATTACTTGCAACATCCTTTTTTTTTTTTTTTGGTTTCCTTTGGCCACCTCATTAGGTAGTAACCTAGACTCGGGAAGTCTTGTGATTCTTGCTCCATCCTTCCTCTTTCTTAAACGCCCTTGACTAAATGAATATAAATGTCCATCATCTTATCACTTTGATGGAAATTACAATTTTGTACTTGACTTCAAATGCTTCCCAAATATTTCCAATTCCAAATTTCTGATTACCCCTTCCATCTAATTAGCGCTACTGCATCCTCACGGTGTACTTGAAGATTTGTTTTATTTATCGGTGGCATTTATATAATATTTGAATCTTCATCAGTAGTGTTAAAGATGCTCACCTTAGCAATACAAATAAGAAAAAGAAGAAAGATCAGGCACCCTGTGATAGACCTTATTGAGACTGGGATTACCAAAAGAGGAATGCGTTGCCTTTGGAGAATAGGAGGAAGGGCAAGTCCATGATATTCATGTTTGATACCCATATTCTTCCCGGAATGCCAATAATAATAGATGAATCATGAAAGGTTAGTGTTCAAATGAAGGTTTGTAAGTTTACTAATAGAAACAAAGTTAAAAGGGCGATTGGGTATGCATAAAATAAAAGATAAGAAAGGAAGATGTCGTGCATGACCAATACCTTTGGCAACTTTAATAGCAACCATCTTAGAAGTATGAGCAAAGTAATAGTAGGAAGGGAAGAAGCATCAGGATGAGAAAGATGAGGTAGTATACCAGATGTATGACTAGAGGCACTAGAGTTGAGGATTCAAGGTCCAAGGGGCGAAGGCTGAGAGAGAGAAGCTATGGCATTATCACTTTTTGTGATGGAGGCAATGGCATGAGACTTGGATGCTATTTCTTAATACTGCAAAAAGAAAAGCTTTGTACTTAGCTCTATATAAGGTGATCAAGGAGGAACTATTGCTCTAGGGTGTATCAACATTCTTACTCAAGACTGCATTGGCTGTCCAGGGCTGGCTATATAAGGAGCAATGCTTGGTGCGAGTATGACTTAGCTTATTACAGTAGGTCTGGTGAGGCCATTGTTGATGACTTCCATTAGAAGGCCCCTTAGTGGCCATGATTCATGTTGCAGTTAATATGCAGTGAAGAAGGAATGGTGGCCCCAAGTTATGTCATTTCAGTGGGCTTGATAGTCAACTGTTGTCACAAAAATTAGCCAATGATGGAACATCTAGCAAGAGAATTGGTTCTGAATGGGGGGCGAGCTCTACTTTAAAGGATGTGAGGATGACCACTATAAAGAATTTGTTGCCTTGCTGCTCCTATTCCTTAGTATCTATGGTTATAGGCATCAATTCTTTGAACTCGCATCTCACCAGTCCAATCTCCCTACAATAGTGCTTATGTCATTTATGTCCTGCTGCTTTAGGTTAAACATAGTAACTGCTGGAGACCTGGTAGTGAACATGGGTGTAGCCTTTTGTCAAATGGTGTGATGGGTTTAATAGTTGTGCACGGTGTGCCACAATACCTCGGACATAATTTACAATCCATTGATTGCCACGATAGAGCGACTAATTGGTGGTCTGTTTTCTTCTAAGTTGGCCATCCACATTGGGGTTTGAAGAGGCTGCAAGAAGGTCAGGCGTAATGATTCATAATATAAATATAAAAAAGTTTAAGAGTTAACTAAAATTTCCCATGAACACTAAAGGTTCAATAGCATGACAAACGCACCAAACAGCACAAACTGAAGCCAACCATGTGGAAAAGGGGCTAGGCTAGAGACATCTGAGGTTTCTATGTGGAGCTAGGCAAATTCTGCATGAATTTATTATTTATGGTAAGGATACAAAGACAATGGATCGATGACTTCCTAATTCTTGATGACAGACAATTTTAGACAACTGCAAAGTGAATGCTTTAATATTGAATTGGTCTTTCCATGCCTTTAGGTCTTTAATTGCTGCTGCAATTTACTCCATCTCAATCACTATGTAAAATCATTTCCCTACTAAGTATTTGGAACATCATGATTGATCATCGCATGGCAAGGTTTTGAATTTTGAATTTATTGTCTAGAATGCTCTTGGCTCAAGCATTCAATTATTCCTTAATTTCTAATGATCTCTTATGTATTTTTTTTATACATATTTTGGGATTATTAATAATCAGATATTGGACAAATTGTCACTTTCTCTCCATACGAATGCTTAATAATTTGATTATTATTCATGGAAGGTTTAGATAAATCTTGGACTATGTTGGAAGTGAAAAAGGCATTCCTTGATAATTGCGTTGGATTACTAATGATACATTTGTTTCTGGGTGTAGGCCTTGATTAACAGAGGTAATACGCAAGTGAGAGAGTTGCGACAATTGATTGAATCTCTAAAGGCTGAAAGTGAAAGGTTAGAGGTAAAATTTCAAGTTCCATACAAACTCTTATGATTTGCAATAGTTTCTTTCCATTTATTTGTATTAATTTAGACTTTATAAGTCTAAGGTGAAAAGCTCTGAATAAAATATTCAGCGATCTATGAAACTGGAAATAGAATATATGGATTTGAGAACTGAATGATTTTGAATCAATTTCCTTGATTGATAGCATTTTACAAGGCTAGAGAATATAAACAGAGTGCTTTGGAGAAAAATAAAGGCTAACAAATGCTTTACACTCAGCAGCTAGTCACTAAGCCTATCTTAGAGAATATTTACAATAAATGACGTGAAGGCAAAATCAACTCTGATATTGCCACAGAACATTGATTAAATTCTGAGAGAATATACTGCTGGAGCCTTAAAATCTGACAGGAACCTGGTACATTTCCTAGCCTCGGCTGATGTTAATCTGAAAAGGGTTTGCTTTATCAGCTCTGCGTGAGCCAGTGGCTGATCTCAGCCAAAACCTAGGCCTTCTACCCAGAAAATACAATGAAAGTCAGAACTAAAGAACAAGTACTCTCCCTTGTCGAGTCTTCTTCAAAAGACAGATCTATCTATCCCTATCCATAGGAATTGAGTCCATAACCCAAAAAAAAAAAAAAAACAAAAACAAAAACAAAAAAAATTAACTATGAACAACTCCCAACCTCAGCCCACTCCCACCTTGCCTTCATCTTCATCCCCTGCCTTTTCGCCTTTCAGGTATAGACCTCAGTATATTTCTTTTTATAACATGTTCAGGCCTTTTCTGTGTTACTTGCTCTTCTTGGATATCTCCTGTAAGTCTTGGGGAAGAATTCAACTTCATTCTGAGGAGTTGCTACTTGATTAAGAAGTGAGTCTTGCTATTGGAAGAAGTTTATCTCTAGCCTTCTAAAATAATGTGAGGTGTCAAAAAGCTAAAATACAGAAAAGGGTAAGAACCATGCTGATTAAATCATCCGGAGACTGGTATCTAATGAAAGCAGCCACACTTCTTCAGGAATGGATTTCTTTTGGACAGAAAGTTCCCCTGTATTTTGTAGTATTCTCAATCCATGTTAAATTGATAATTCTCTTGTCAAATGCTAACTAATTGTGACAATATGAATGCCATGTGATGCACTAGCAGCTTTGGTTAGTGATAGTGCATGGAGCGCCTCAGTACCAGTTTCTCGCATAAAGTATTGCCTGGGATGCATAAGCATCTAGCGGACTATCATGTTTGTATTAACTGTTTGAGAAAAGAGTGGTATACTGTGTCCCTGGTTAGCATCCCTCCATCATTTTAGAAATGACTTAATGACACCACCCTCTTGTTTACCACGAAAGAATACATGCCTTTCTAAACTTAAATCATCTCTTAGAAAAACAAGGGCTGGGGATGAAGTTTTGATTTATTCTTGGGATAAATTATTAAGGAGATTGTCATTGCATTTTCTTTTTATCCTCATGGAATAATGTTGACATTTTAGAAAGTAATGGTAGCACCTTGCTTTGATAAAGTCTACTCCAAGGAAACAGTAAAACATAGTCAGCTGTTCATGGTATTTGTCATTGGTTTCAGAAGAGAGCATTACATGCAGAAGAGGAATTCTTACGTGGAAGAACAAAGCTGAGGTTTGCAACTTAAGGATGTAAATCTGTGAAATTTACTTTGTAAGTCAGTTATATATGTTATTTATTCATATTTGTGATTTTGTTACAGACAAGCTGGGAAACAAATCCGAAGTGTAATTCAATCAGCATATAAAATTGAAAGAAAGGCAGGAGGTATACAAAATATAATATCTGGCTTGATAAGGAACTGTTGTGTGATAATAAGCTATACTGGTGATCATGCACTCTACTCTCCTGACCTGGTTTTTGTTTCTTGGCTGCACTAGGCTTAAAAGATATCCTTGGAGAACTTCCTAAAAGAGAAGCATCTCATTTCCGGTCACAGGTAAATTTTTGGCTAGCAGGATGCAGTTCACAAAACAAAAGTTTTAAGTAGTTATTTGGTGGCCTTGTTAAAAAAAATCACGTGAGTTTCAAAAAAAAAAAAAAAAATCCCTCCAATCCTAAATATGAAAGTTAATTAGGAGTTTACTTTGGTGTTAAATGTAAGATCTTAATCTACTTTGTCTCTCAAATTTATAATTTTTTCCCCCAAATGATCCATATGGATTGCTCATGTTAAGAGGGCTTCCACCAAGGGGTAATTCCAATGGAAATGATTAAAGAGAGTATTTTAAGGAAATCAAAATATGCTTTTAACAAAAACTAGTTTAACTAATTTTTTAATCTCTACAAATTTGTTACCTGGCTTCTATATTAGAGGTCAGAAGGAGGAGGAGGAGAAGTAATAATAATAAACAAAGAAATTATGTTGGCTTGGAAGATTAATTATTTGATGAGTAGAGTTGTGTCTGATTTGTCCAACCTATTATCCACTTACATAAAGACTATTTCTCACAACATGCCTCATCAAACTTTCATTTTCCACATGGGAGCAGAATTGGTGGCATTTTTTATGGTCTTTTTTTTTGGTTTTTTCTTTTTTTGGTCCCCGGGGGGTTTCCAAATGCTTTGAAACTTTTTGCTCAAAATTACACGAAAATGAATAGCAGACACTAAATAAAAAATTTTGCTGAAATTGTAAGAACTGAAAGTATAATTTGACCAAAATGTTTCACTTGCATAAGCTCTATTTGGTTTCAAACTTCCCTCCACTTGGAGCTGGTAACTGTGGATAAGGTTTTGCAATGGATATAATGCTTTGCTGCTGTTATGTTAATAGCCATTTGTTGACTCAATAAATGTCAAAACTTTCTACATTGTCCTTGACCATTGAACATCTGTATAGCCACAGCAAATGCTAACTTACACCCTGGCTGGCAGGTTTCCAAGCTTTCTTCCGAGGCAAAGAAAGAAAGGAATACCTTGACTAAGGAGGTCTCAAAAATTAGCAACTATGGCATCTCGGTTTGACGAAATTTTACATTGGCCTTCTCTTATTGGATAAGCAATTAAGTTTCCAAAAGAGATAACTGTCACTGGTAATCATAAGAATAATTCAATCCCTTCAGTACTTTTATATTTCAAGGAATTTCTTTTCTTGTATTTCTTTCGGGAGGAGTAGGGATTTGCTTTTTGCTGTCAATGGAGATCTGCTCACATTTGTTAGACAAATTCACATGGAAGGACATAAGGTTGAGAGAGAGAATGGGAGACATAAGTTCACATTGACGTTGTATACAAGCTTACTTTGATACCTGAGCTCTCTCAATCTTCATTACCTGTTGATTTAAATGTGTCAAGTACTTCAAGCATGGTTTGCTTAGGTTGGATATTGACTGATAAATGGAAAACTGAATCACCAAAACTAGTAGGAATCAATTGCTGAAGTCAATTGCTATTTGAGTCTTTGTGTAGGTTTCCTTAGCTGTGCTTTACCAGAATTGTGGGGTACGCCAATTCCATTGAAGCTACTTGGGCCTTTAAGACTTCGGCCTGGCTTAGGCATCAGACCTTTGTTTACATACATACATAAATAGATATATATAAAATAAGTCAATTATACTCGGTTGTATGTATAGGCTTCAAACTTTAGGAGGGGTATTGTATTTTATAAACTTTAATTTGGATGTGTTAACATTCAATGCATTTTTTTTTTCCAATTTTGTCGTTAACTATTCATTCTCTCTCCTTTGTCTTATCCTCTTTTATCACATTTTTTAATACATTTTTTTATCTTTTTTCTCATTTATTATAAGGGCATATTTGAAAATAAAAGTGTATTTTTAATCTATTTATTGTTTTAAACTAATTTTAACTAATTGTTCGTTATTTGTAAATTAGTTATCTGAAACTTATAATAAGGACTTAAACGAGTATTAAATAAGACATATGAGTTGTAACTCTATCAGTCCCTCTCAACAATTCAAAGCGTGTTTCATTTCTCATTAACGTTTTCGACACCGAAGGATGGATGCCTATAACAGAAATTATTTTAAAGATCCAATAAAAGAATCAAAATTTTATGAGACTGATTAAAAGTTAGATGATATTATAAGAACAAACACAAATGAACATAGCATGTATTATCAGAAATAAAGAATGTTACTTCTCCGTTCTTTATTATAAGAGACATTTGATGCTTATGGCATGTTTTTATATATAAGATATATTTAAAAGTTGTCTCTACTTTTTTTTGTTGGTTTTCTATTTTACCTATATTTATTTTGTCTCCAACTCATACTCTCTCTCCCTCCCACTTCTCTTTCTTTTAATAATTTAATTGTTCTCTCCCATACTCTCTCTCCTTCTTAATGAGGGTATTCTTGAAAAAAAATATACTTTTTACACATTAATTGTTTTTAGCTAATTTTAACAGTGTTTTTGATCAATATAATTCGGTTATTTGTCTCTTATAATAAAGAACGGAGGGAGTATGTTTTAAAAGAGGCATAGCATGAGGACTCCCTAAAAGATCATTTTATTTTAATACTAGTTTAAGCAGATTTAATTGTGGGTATCTAACGCATATAATAAGTAGAACTAATTACGTTATCTAATTTATAAAATTTAAATTAATATTAAAGATATGTTGCGTAATTTTTTAAAAAATTGATATGAATCAAATAGAAAACATTAATTTTCCATTGTTATTCCTGTTGTTGCTTCAATCATTTGTTCTTCCTCATCTTAACTTCTGTCAGCGCTTGCTCATCTAAAGAAGGTTCATGACATGTAACATCCCAAAATTTTAAGAGGGAAGAAAGGAAGAAAAAGGCCTTTTATTTTTATATTAGAAAAATAAAGAAATTGTTCCTCCTTTTTCTTTAGAGCATCATCACTAGAGGTGTGTTATGTAACATCCTAATTTTTGTTCATAAGATTTAAAATTTTAGAAAGAATAATTATTTTATGGTAAATGTAATTTTACCTTATAATTATTTGAGTAAAGAATATTTATTAAAAAAATGGATTTATAAAAATAAAAGAGATTATAAGAAGATAATAATAATTAGAATTTTAATATTTTGTTTTAAAAAGGGGAAAAAAAGAGAAGAAGCAAAAAAAAAAAAGTGTAAATCTGTAAATTTGGATCTTGGGCCTATTAAGGTAGCTTGCCCTAATGCTTCTTTGCAACCCTCGTGCTTTTTTCGCGTCATTTTTCTCTTTCTTCTTTCCCTTAGGCGTACCTAGAGTAGGAAAAACGGGCCGAGCTTATCGAACTGGTCTATTTATGAGGGTCGGGTTTGAAATTTTTCTCCTCAAATAGGAAACAGGCCCTACAGGGCCCTATAGGGTCGAGGGAGTAAACGGGCCGACCGGTTTAGGTTCTTTTATATTTTTTTTGTTTTTTAAAATTTTTTTGTCTTATTCTAATATTATTAATTTTTTACATTGTTAATGATATTTTAAATATTTAGTCATTACTATCATTTTAAAATTAAATTTCATAGAATGGTTTGATTTATTTAGTTTTAGACAATAATTTTTCGCATTAAATTTTTTAAAAAATGGGTTAATTTGGACTTTAATAATGATTTGATTTATATTATATGTGTTGATATTTTTAAACTATATATATTTGATAAGAGAGTATTTTTATACTTATGTAACTTGTGATTCTATAATTTGAATTAGAAATTTATAAGTTTCAACAACAATGCTTCTCAAACTAAAATAAAATAATAGCTAGACTGTAAAATTTAAAAGTGAAATTTCTATAAAGAAGAAAAACTTGATATTTTTGTTACGAAAGAAAAGCATACTCATAAAGAAAAGTAATTGATTATAGTGATGAGGAAGTTTAAAAAGATTAATGATAGTGTTTGTTTATTACACATTTACATTATAGATAAAACTTTTGGATGCTAATATCTTGTTAATAAATGTTTTAGATATTCTTGGATGTTGATAGATATTTATATATGATGATATTTTGTATTTGTGATTTAATTTTATTCATATTTATGTCTTTTATTAATAATTTCATTGGTTTATTTTTATTTTTTGATAAAAATATGCAAAATATGAAAAATAGCTTCTTCTTTTTTTTAAACAGGCCGAAAGCCCGCTAGGTGGACCTAAGCCTGTTAGTTTAAGGGTTGGGCTTAACAAATTGGGATATTTTGAAATTTCAGCTCTGTTGAGCCAGTCCTTTTAAGCTTGCTAACCCTGTAAGGTCGGACCGGCCCATATTCCCACCTCTAGGCATATCATTCAATTTTGTAAATATTTTTGGTAAGCAAAACAATTTTTTTTGGTTAAACTCTTTTCATGAAAGTTATTTTACTTATTTAGATCTATCTAATGGTAGTAATTTTGTCTTGCTTAAAGAAAATCTTTGGGTCTAAATTTTAGAACAAGTATTGAGTTTTGATTGATGACCATAATACTGTAGAGCTATTTTAGTAAATTACTTCTATCAGTTTAGTTTTATTCATTGGGTGACTGAATATTTTAAAATGATTATTTTAGATTAAAAGCTCCTTATTTGTTAGAAATTTGATATTTGTACTAAGCAAATTATTTATTTATCTATATATTTGAGGTAATATGGAATTATTGGTGGTTTAGTTTGAAGGTTTAAATTTGAAATGAGATTTTAGAATTTAAAATATAATAATTTTAGACTTAATAATTTTGCAAAATTTTTTTATTAAAGTAAATAATTTGGAGGATGTAAATAAGTAATTTTGTTTTTAGAAAATTGTAAGTTGGTGCTAAAATACTTAACTTTGTATTATGAGAGTTTTGGGAATTTAGAAACTTTCACTAATTAAAAAAAATTAATTAATTAGTTAAATCACTTATATTAATATGTGATTATATTAATGGTATAGATTAATTATTGATTTATTAGTTTGAGCACGGGTTTGACCTTGTGGTAATCATTTTATTTGCGTTGGTGAGAGGTAACCACTTTCCACTTGTTATATTTACTAATATGTTATTTGTGAGTATTTTTGCTATTTTGAAACCATGATATGTTATTTAAAATTTAATGATATATGCTCTACCTTTTGAGCTATGAAAATTGTTTTTTGAGATATTTTGGAATTGTGATTGAGAAATTAGAAGAAATATTTAATATATATTATTTATATCTCATGGATTATATTGAGAAAAGATTGATACATTTCTAGTTATATCGTGCTTGATTGGATGTTGTTTGAATTTTGAGTTGAGTCTTATTATATCACGTGGTAAGGTTGCCATTGGTGCACACTGATTGGCTTCCTTTGTCTCCTATTGTGAGTGATAGGCCTTTATGGCTCTTTATTTCGTCTCCTAGAGTGAGAGATAAACCCATATGTCTGATTGATTCCCATAGTGAGGGGATAGACTTTTTTGCCTTGTGTGTTAACCCTCATAGTGAGGATATGTATGATTGAAATTTATCCTTATATATATGCTTTATAATTTTATTGATATTTATATTTCTTGAGATTTGATAACTGTCTCACTTGACGCATCACAGGCACATGTTGATATGTATGATGAGTTGAAAAGTTGGTTATTGAGACTTTTGTTTCGCGCTATAGTTTCTAATGTTTTCAGGTGATAATTCAAGTGTTGGTCCATCAGGGAAGGATTCGGAGGCTTAACATACTATTATAGCTTGTATAGCCTTCCTCTTATTATTTTATGTACTGATTTATTATATATTTCCACGTAAGGCTTATTCACTTTACTTTTGCAAACTAATACTTTTGATTTTTACTAATCGCTGGGAGTGCTGTCAGAAGGCTGGAGGCTTCTAAGACTTTCATTTAACACTTTTTTATAAATGTTGTCTATTAATAGAGCTTCATAACTTATTTTGGAAGGATTTATAAGTTTGTATGTTCCAAAGTATGAGATTTCATTTGGGCTAATGGTTGATCATTATTTCTGGACTTCAAAAGTTCAAAGCCCAAGTTAATAATTGCTATTGCTAGTGGCATAACTTTATTCTTTTTAATCATGATAGTGATTTTATGATCTTAAAGTTTCTTCTTTTCTGTCATGGAAACTTTCAGGGTGACATTGAGCCAAAAAAATTCTAGATATTCAGTGTTCCTAAGCGAAAACTTCTAAGACAAATTTGTACCTTAAGGTTTTTTTTTTTTTTAAAGCAGTCTTAAATTGCTTCACTTTTAATGTATATTGGGGCTAGAAGGAACTTATCGATTAATGTTTTACGCCAAATGGATAATTGAACAGATTCAAGCAGCTTTTGAAAGAAAGCGTTTTAAATACTTTTATACCTTCAAGAATCAGAAATGACTAATCCAATTAAGCAGCTAATGTTTGAATTTTTATTAGAAAAAATATTTACACTTAATACTCAAGTCAGTCTCAAAATATTATCTTCTTTGTGAGAGGATACCCGTGATTATTGAAAAAAAAATTATTACATTCAATTCTTAATATAAAATCTGATTAATTAATTTGAAGAGATTAATAAAATTATTAAATTACTTTATAACATATGTTATATGTTTTGTCTAAAATACTTATATGGATTATTAGATTATATATTAATTTATAAATGAGACAGATTAATTTAGAAGAAAGCAATAAATATAAATGATTTAAAGTAATTTAAAAAATTTTCTAATTTTTTTAAATTAGTCATATTAAAAGCAGGATAATGGATGCCAAGCGCACCCATAGGTAAAGCTGGAAATAGGCCAGGCTAGGCCAGTTTTGTAGCCTGTCGGCCTAAGCTTGGCCTATGATCTGTTACAGGTTTATTTTTCAGCATGAACCTGACCTGTATAAAAGCCCGGTCTGGCCTGAAATTTGTTAAAAAACTTGTATTTTAAAAAAATTCATACTACAATTATATTTTTTTCAAAAAAGATAAGATTAAAGAAAGCATACATAATAATTAATTTTTCAGCCTTGTCTTTTATTTAAATTTTAGTATCATAAGTTTTATTTTAAATCTTAATTACAATTTATAAGGATATTATTGAAAACTAGTTGTAATTGTATGTTAAAATTTGAAACAAGGCTACGTTTAAGTACACACAAAAAATTTAAAATAAGACAAATAAATAAAGAGAAAAAACTATTAATTTTACAATGAATAAAAAGGATATCATAATTTAATTAACATAATACATAAGTTAATTAATTTATTATTCTTGGAACAAAATTTTTCTTTCCTATTTTATTTATATTTTTAAGATTTAAAAATCACATTATTTATTGATATTATTATTTTAAATTATATTTTTATCTTCACTTGTCAACGAAACTTCAAAATCTAAGAGAGGATTAAGTTATTTACTATATATTAAAATTAAAAAATAAAGGAAAAATGACCAAAAAAGACTGTTAAAATTTGAAATGACAAAATGGGCATGCGAACATATGGAATGACCAAATGGGCATGAAGTATCAATCTGAAATTTTGACAATTCAGTAGAAAGACTAAAATGTCCCTGACACGTATTTGGAGTCAATTTCACTACTTCAGTAATAATAATGACGACATTTATAATGTAAATTAAAATTTTCGTAATTAGAGGTATTAACTCGTTATTGCCATTTGCAACTCGTTTTTTTCAAACCCAAATAATATATATTTGGAACCAATTTTACTATCCTGGTAATGATAATGAGAACATTTATAATATGAATTACAACTTTTTTATTGAGAGTTACCATCTTACTATTGCCATTTGCAAGTCGTTTATTTCAAACTCAAGTAACATGTATTTGGAACCAATTTCACTACCCTGATAATGATAATAATAACATTTGTAATGTGAATTACAACTTTTGTAATGAGAGTTACTATTTCGCTGTTACCATTTACAACTCGTTTCTTTCAAAATCAAGTAACATGTATTTGGAGTCAATTTCACTACCCTGGTAATTATAATGACAATATTTGTAATGTGAATTACAACTTTCGTATTGAAAGTTACCACCTGTTCATGTCTTCAGAGAGGTTCAGGGCATTTTAGTCTTTCTACCGAATTGTTAAAATTCCAGATTGATACCTCATACCCATTTGGTCATTTCATATATTCGCATATCCATTTTGTCATTTCAAATTTCAACAGTCATTTTTTGGTCATTTTCCAAAAATAAATTAAAAGAAGACATTAACAATAATATCATTAACTAATTTTTTCATATATTATAATTATAAATTTCTAACAGGCTCAGATCGGGCTAACATGCTTTTTAAAGAACCTAAACCAAGCCCGTTTAGCTAAACAGGCTTTCAACAAACCTGAACTTGCCTCTTTTAAAAAACAAGCCAGGCCAAATACAGACCAGGTTATAAGCTCGTGACAGGGTGACTTGTCTGTTTCCATCGTTACTCATAAGTCAATAAACACGTGCATGGCACGTTCCCACCACGGTGATATCATTCTCGTTTCTCCACAACCAAATGTTTCCGCGCTGCTATAGAACAAAAAACCGAAGTGTTTCAAACTTGAACCGTGAAATGGAACAGAGCACCTCCGACCATAAATTCCCGTCAGTGTTACCCAAAATGTCATACATAATATTTATACACCATGGCTGCAGCTACAGCATCCCTCTTGCTTCCCAAGCCATTCAAATGTCAAAACCCTAAATCTGTTTATTCTCATCCTGCAAAATTCACATGCTCTTCCTCCGTCACAACCCAAACACAATCTGCCAAACAGGACCTTCTGAGCCTAATTGCAGACCAGGACCGTGGCCTTAAGACCCAGAATGATCAACAAAAGCGATCTCAAATTGTTGAAGCGATCGATGCAATGGCTGCCTTGGCCGCTGGTTCCGTCACCACTGGTGATTCCCTCTCGGCCACATGGAGGTTGCTTTGGACCACGGAGAAAGAGCAGCTCTTTATAATTGAGAAGGCTTACTTGTTTGGCACCCAAGCTGGTGATGTTTTGCAGGTGATCGATGTTCATAATAGAACATTGAACAATGTCATTACTTTTCCTCCCGATGGAGTTTTCTTTGTTCGATCCAATATTGAGATTGCGTCGCCACAGAGAGTGAATTTCAGGTGCATGACGAGTGTTACTGTTGTTTTGTTTGGCATTGACTTGAATTCCTGTTGGATTGGTTATAGTATTCTGCAGGAAAACACATGTGAAGACACTGTTTTGATAGACAGCATTAGGATTATAAACCAGAGTCCAACTTTGAATTTATCGACTTCGTTTCTCTTTTATTTTATGTTATTTTATTTTTCCTTCCTGGTTCGCACTGATATTGGTTTTTTTAGATTTACTAGCGCACTTTTACGTGGGAAGAACTGGGAAATTCCGTTGCCGCCATTTGGACAGGGCTGGTGAGTAATTCGACCTTGTGTGATAGCTTAAGTGAATTTGGTTCATGTTTTAACTTCACAAGCGAACTAAATGAGCTCGTTTTCTTTTTCTTTTTCTTTTCTTTCTTAATGTTGTTATCTCAATATTATTCACGTTCTCTGTCATGCCATCAACACAGGTTTGGATTATTTGTACCTGAAGATGGAACATTAAAGTTTTCAAGTTAGCTGGGAGAACCTTTATTATGTTCTCTTTTCAGTAGAGGTTTCGCCAAAAATGGTTATATCTAGAGTTGGAAGTGAGGATAAAAATGTTTTTAGTTAGAGAAGGACTCTTAGCAAGAGAACTCCGTGAATTTACAATGGTTAGAGAAAGAAGTAGAACATTGAAATTTATTGAAGTATCTCACTTTTTGATACTGGTTATGTCATGCTTACAATGGTATTCCTATACATCAACTCTAATTGTTTTATTAGTTGTGGCCGTGGAAAAAAGGAAATCTCCTTGAACTTTATTGGTAGGGTCCAGAACTGGTTGACTGCGAGTATTCACTTCTATAGACTTATAATTTCCCTTTGGGGTTCCTTAACAGGTTATCGCTTATATAACACTGGTTTGCTAAACATTAGGTGGACAGAGATAAAGTTAGGGTATAGCATTCTAAGCTTTCACGAAATATGAAGCAAAGAAGGATAAATTTGAAAGTTTATTTTATTTTCGGCAAAGGGGAATTAAAAATCATGAAAAAAGTTGGACAAACCTGTAAGCATGCTTTTTCATTGTAAGCCTTTCAGAAAGAAAAGGGGTTGTGGAAGAAAGTAGTGCAGATTGTTCTAGTTTTTGTTCTGCATATGTTAAGATTAATCTTCTTTCTTTCTCCCAGTAATGGCAGTCTCGACCTTTAGCATTTTTTAGGGCTAAAGAGTTTTAACTTATGAACCGTGAGTTATTAACAGGAGAAATGAAAGAGAGTGGTGCCCAAGAATTGATCTTTTCCACGTTTCAATGACTCTCCCGGCCTCTATCATTTTTTAAGTATGCTTCCTTCTTAGCATTTTTGGATCATGATTTATTGAAGTGTTAAGATTAGCCTTCCTTTTTCTCCCACTAACGGCACTATCAGCCTCCCTAATGGGAAAATTACTAGAGCGACAGTGATGGAGGTTAGTTATGGTGAGAGCTGAAAGGCGAAGAGAGGGGGAAGTGGTGTTGTGATCAAAGAGGGGGAGGACTTTAGTTAGACCGGTCAACAAAGATTATGATGATGTTAGTGGGGTTCAGTGGGGATGACGCTAAGGTGGCAATGACTTGGATAATTGTCATGTGAGAATGCCATGGGATAGTATGAGTCAAACCGCACAACTTAACAGTCAAGCTTAACACTTTCTAACTGACAGGTCGACATTGCTATGTTTTGTAAACTTTTGGGGTGATATTATTCCTAAAAATACTTCCAACTACCCACAGAGCAATAATTTTCACAGGAAAAATTGGTCATTAACCCTATTTTTTATCAGAAAACTTCATAGAAAACACCTAGAGTCTGCGCCTAAATCTGTTAAATCTGTTTCATAATAAAACTATTCGTGGTCCTTTAGTTAACAACTTGAACTTTTGAGTTGAAATGTTCTTTGACAGTACATATGATGGTCATACTCTTTATATGGGTGGTTATGTTTAACTAGATGGCTATACTTGGTTGGCGTAGATGTCAGCCTAGAGGTTCGAGTTCTTCAGTTGAATGTTGATATGTTATTTGAATCACAAGTTTTTTCATCTATATCATCGTCTATTATGTTTTATAGTATAAAAATGTTTATATCTTCCTTAATAATTCTGTTCTCGATTAAATTCTGATCTCTGCCTCTTGAATTCTGAGTCTGGATAGATAATGGGTCTAGGCAGAATTGGCAAGGACATGATTTATATTTCAGTATGCTTTATTTGCACGGTCCTTTTTTGCAGGTTTGACACCGTGTACCTCGATGACGACATCCGAGTTGCAGAGGACATTAGAGGAGATTATTTAGTTGTTGAGCGTGCACCCTATACCTGGAAAGAATAAGAGTAATCTTTAATATCACTGCATGCGTATATTCAGTATTCAGTACTGCAAAAAGAAGTGTACATATATAAATATTTTAGGGCATACATGTATAATAGCCACAGGTCTCTTGTGCCCTTAGTGGCAAATCGTACTTCCTAGAATAAACTGCCTTACATCTATAAATACCACGTGCCCTGCCACATTTCAATACGCAAGGCTTGAGAGTGTTCCTGTAATGGTACCAGAGCCTCTCAGTTTCTTCATGAGGCCGTCCTCAACTGCCCCTAAAATTGATTCCGGCAACTCGGGACTATTTCTTTCTTTTTCTGATTTTGATTCTACAGGGGCCCTAGGACTATTTCTGTCTTTATTTCTCTTAACAGGTCACTAATCAGGGGCAATATGCTAATAATACGTATCAAAATAGAAAAAAATTCCTAGTTGGGAGGCTCAAAGTTCAAACATAATCATAGACTTATCATTCGTACTATGAGTCAAATAAGTGAACCAATCCGCACAAATGTTTAGTATATATGAAAAGGGCTTCTACGGGCTCCAGGGGCACTTCCATCACCTCTGCTTTCATTCGTTGAATGCAATCACATGGGAAAAAAAGGGGGGGGGGGTGTAATTAATATAATGATATTTAATCCCACAGTTACTAGTATTTTAATTTACTCTTTCAGTCTTTAATATAAGACATAATTGTTGAGTTGATTTTAGTTTTAAATATAAGAACTATTTCTCATATTTATCAGTTTTTCTTAAATTACTCCTATTGATACTTTTTCAACCATAATTAAGTAAAAGAGAAAGGGAGGACATTAAGGAAGATGATTATGATGTTTTAAAAAAATATGTTATATTTTTTATAATTAACTAACTTATCTAATTTTTTTAATCTAATCAAATTAGTTAAATATGTCTTATATTAAAGACCGGAAGAGTATTTTACGCACTCAAACTCTATTTCACATAATTGCCGGTTGGGCCATTCCCGAGTGCCAAGGATATAGCCTACAACGAACAAAACTAGAAGTAACATTACATGTTTCTCTTGAATTATTTTAATTTAGTGCCCGTTTGGATTAGCAATGAACAAGTGTAATTGTAGATTATTGTGAATTTTATAAGTGGTATTGGTTATAAGTGACGTTGATTAATTATGATTTTTGTTTGTATATGTCTTTTTTATAAGTGACTTTAAGAATTATGTTATGTTTGGTTTTCATTATTAAAATCACTTATGGATGCATAGTTACCAAAAATGCATAAATTTAAGAAATATTATTAAATGTAATCATTTGAGAAGAGATTTTCAGAAGTGTATGAGAGTAGATTGGAGAAAATTCAACTGATAAAAATTGATTAGGATTCTTCAAACACATAAGTTACTTCTTGGTGCTTATCCTAAAAGTGTGGTGAATAAGTGAAATTATGATTTATCAGGATTTCATAAAAATTATCCAAACAAGATAAATATGCTTCATAATCACTTATTTAGATTCAAACGAACTGATTTGAGCTCTCACCACCTAACCAACCAAATAGGCACTTAATTTACCAATGCCTTTGATACGGGCTTTGTTCATTTGTAATGAGAAACAACTTGCTTGGAACACAGGAACAGCTTAGCCTCCAAAAAATTTGAACTTCGTCATAGATTTCACGTTACACATGCTATATGTTTACTTTCTGTTTGATATTTCTTTATATGTATTTGTTTTCTTTGTTACACTCTATTGCTAGGCTTCACAATTACCTTCTCCCAATATGATAGCTGTTGAAGCTTTTTTCGTATATTATTTTACTTAGTTCTTAATAAAATTGTCATTTATCCAAACAAAAAAAGAAAAGGAAAAAAAAATAACGCTATGAATAGAATGGTATTAATCCATTGTTGAGTTTGAGCTTACCACCCCTGGAAAAGCTTACTAGGTAATCATTTAGCCGGGTAATTTTTCTGCTCATTGGTTTTGTTTACTTGAAGCAGTAATGTTTGTCCCTGCCATCCCATTTGCAATGCTTACTAATTGAATGCACTTGATTTTCAATCAGATAACTTTTTTTTTTATCATCAAATTTTAGACAGGAGTTCAGGTTCAACCCAAACTAGGGTAGGGCACTCGAACGGTTCCTCCAAAATAAGAGGGTGTGGTTTTTATCGTTAATCCCACAGACAATGGGTGTTCAAATAACTGTTTGATCTTATGGCAATAGTTCTAGTTTTGCAAAGGAGTTTGTTGTATCATCCTTTGTTAAATTAGACCTAGAGTCTCTTTCTATCTCTATCTCTCTCTCTCTTCCCTCTTTTTCGTTTCTTCCAGTGATTTCTTTATATTATAACTCCGTCTAATGTAAATCAGAACTTATGCATGCATTCCCTGCTTGTCGAGTTGAACTTTATTTACTATGAAAAATTTCGATTAGATTTTATTACTCTCTAATCCTAAGAACTAGTAAAAAAAGTTTGCTTTGATGCTAAATATGAAACATCAGTCCATTTTGCCTTTCAAATTTATAATTTTTTTCCTTAAACTATACTCACTAATTACACATATTAAATGAGCTTTTCATCAAAAAATAATTTCAAGTGCAAATAGTTAAAAGAAATATTTTTACAAATAAATAATTTAATTGCTTTTTTAAAATTTATAAATTAATTATTTAGGCCATATATATAAAATCAGAGACAATGTATTGTATCAGTCCGCTTATATGTCTATCTTTCCCTGTATATTTAATGTAATGCAGATTGACTCCATGTGGATTTATCTCTTGCGATTGTCCACCTTTGGGTTGGTTTGGTTTGGTTTTTTTAGGGAGAATTGCATTTAGGTCTCACCCTAGAGAATTAAATATAAAAAGGTTTCTTGAAATTATGAAATTATTTTAAAGTTCTAAGGGACTTTTTTGTAATAAATTTTTTTGTTTAATTATCAAATTACTCTTTGTCTTTTTTTTTTTAAAAGTTTGCATTGACAACTGAAAGAGTAGTGGTTGACAACTTAGGGTGCAAGGATTGACAACTATCGCGGCTGGTTTGACAACTTCAAACTAAGTTGTCAAACCAGCCGCGATAGTTGTCAATCCTTGCACCCTAAGTTGTCAACCACTGCTCTTCAGTTGTCAATGCAAACTTTTTAAAAAAGATAATTTGGTAATTAAACAAATAAAATTTATTACAAAAAAGTCCTTTAGGACTTCAGAATAATTTCATGATTTTAAGGGCCTTTTTGTATTTAATTTTTTTGAGTGGGACCTAATTATAATTTTTTTTTAAAAAACCCAACCACTTACAAGTGAAGGAAAAAGACGAGACATAATTGTTTTTCATTTAGACGAGCCAGCAAGATAAAATGAGATCGTGGTTGTGTAATGGTTCATGTATGGTGGGAGAAGAGTACCTATAAGGGTTATCTTATGCTCTAGCCCGTCGCTCTGTTCTTCCCTCTTTCCCTCTCGCTATTAAAGAATGTTTGACTTGATCTCACTTTCTGACAGTTGAGATGATTATGTTTGTTGACTGACTAGATTGACATCTAAACTCTAATTTTTGTCCCCCACCGCAGACAGAATAGATGACTCTATCACCCTAGTGACTAGTGAGGTGAAATTATTATTAATTACCATGCTCCTGAATATAAAAGTTAACACAGGATTTTGTTTACATTTAAATTATAAGGTGAGGATAGCTAGTTTCCAGTACAAATTATTAAAATGGCTACTCTAAACATATTTTTATAAATAACTAATTTTTTCGACCTCTACAACTTGGTTATCAAACTGTTATGTTTAATATTAGATGTATTACTACCTTTGATTATTAAAAGTTAGATAATTAATTTGAGAAGATTAAAAAAATTAGTTAAGTTGGTTAATTATAATAAATATGTGTTGATTTCTCTAAACTGTCATCTTTAATCATATGTATTGGAGCTATCTTTTGTTGAGAATCTCTTACAATCAATAAAGATATTTTAAAGAAAACATTATAAATTTGAGAGATAAAGTGGATTGTAGTTTTATTTATATGACTAAATTTGAATTTCAATTAACTCTTGTATTAAAGTTCAAAGATGGTGTAAATCAATTAAGGTGCGGATTATGTTGTGATTACGCACTAATAAGCGGGCAAATAAGAGCCCTAATAGTTGGGACCATCACGTGTGGGTGGCATTTGCTATCTTATAGGTATGAGCAGTTACTTTATGCATTATTTTTTTGATAATGCAAACTTTTTGAACACCACTTAGCAGCCTTTTGGAGATTTCCAAATTGCCTTTTGCGATCTTCATTATCGTTTATAGTCGCATGTTTTGTTTAAATATATAATGTAATTAATCTTCTTTCGCGTTGTTCCTTTTTGGCTTAATCGGTCTGGTAGCTTCATGTGTGATTGTGAAGAATTGAGCAGGGGAAGAAGCCACTTATCTGTTGCGGCCAAAATATCTGTAGTCTCCTTCTCAATTCGGCCATAGTCTCGAATATTTTATTCCACAATTGTTGTCCATATATAGCATATATATAACATCATAAAGGACGAAGAGGAATAAATAAAACGTAACATAACACACTATAAGTTGTCCCCACATCTAAATCAATCAACCTCCTGCATCCTAGCTAAGGGAGACATGTGAAGATAAAATGATTAAGAAACAAATCTACCCATATGAAGTATTTCTTAATGGACATCAAACACCATAATGTTCTCTTGGATACAAAAATGTCTATGAATATTTCAAAAAGATGCAAAAATGTCCGGACCGCTTATTTCATGGTGGGCCCCAAATCTATTGATGCTCTTAAAATTAACGAGTGTTTACTTAATAGTTGTGGTATTTTTGTACCTTTTTGGAATCTTCATGAACACTTTTGCACCCAAGCGAATATTATGGTACCAGTTATGCATTGGTAGATACTTCATGAGTGGATTTACACCTTAATCCAAGATTGAAAAAACAAAAATAAAATTAGTTATTCAAATTATGAGTTAGCATGGCAAGCCAGCCAATTGCACACTTTCTCCCCTTGCAAGATTTATGATCAAGAATGATGTCACACTCCTAGAGGAAGAAACTAGATTTAGATTATGTGCGATGCATGGGGACACCCCCCCCAAAAAAATGAGGAGATTATTATTGACGGTACGTCTTATGATCAAATATATATGTTTTGAACGTTATAGACATGAAGATTATGAGCCAAAAAAATA